AAAATTTCAGCAACAAAGCCTTTTTTTTCGGAATCATCGCGAAGTTCCTAGATATTCGAAAAAGTTCAGATAAATTCAGGAAGCTTTATTTCAATTCCATTAATATCATGCCAGTCTCAAGAACATCATCAAGAAAGTGAGTCAAATAGGGTCAAAAGGTTAACTGGCCCAAAGAGGAAAAAAGGTTGAATAGACTAAACATGGAATGGTGATAAAAGGTCGAATAGAAAAAATATCGATTTAGAAGGAAGACCAAAAGTCGAATGGACAAAAGGTCGAATGATCCAAAGAGGGACAAAAGGTCGAATGACACAACGAGGGAATACGATATAATAATACACACAGATATCTTAAGAAAATAGAAGAATATAATGTTTCTTACAATCAAGCATAGTTTTTCGAATAATAATGTTGGTATGGATTATGACACTGGGTATTAAGACCCCATTATCATTATTTATCCTCCTTTTAATCTCTGTTCGTTCTTTCTTTACCTCAGGTTGAACCCTTCGGAACAGTATTCGTATTTGATGGACATTATTTTGTTTTTTTAACAAGCTGATGTGATCAATCGGTTTAAAGGTTTATTTCAGATTGTTTAGTTATTTTGGCTATCCGTAATTACACAGACACTGTGAATGCTAGGATTGCATTATCAATATTTTCCTGAGTTGGTTGGAAATGCTAACATGAAGCTTTAGTGTGATGATTTATTAGCTAGAGAATGATCTTTAGAAGAGGGTAGGTGGATAGTTCCGTTAGAGTACGGCTTCTTTTCATCACTGATCGTTCTTTCATATAACCAAAAAATGTATCGATTTTGATGATTATCTTCTTTCCACTATTTTCCATCTGGACAAGTGTGCTGAACATCAAAATATACCGCCATTTGACATTTTGCTCCTCTTTGAATCAATCGACCTTTCAACCATTCGCCCTTTTGTCCCCCTTCTCATCATTCGACGTTTTAAATCACTTTGAATCATTCGATCTTTAGATCTTTTTGCATTAAACCTTTTGTTTAGATGACGTTTTGTCCATTCGACCTTTTTATTTTGTCCCTCTTTGAATCGTTCAACCTTGTGTTCCCCTTCTCATAATTTGACCTTTAGTCCATTTGACTTTTTTACCCCATTCTCATCATTCGACCTTTTTCCATTTGAACTTTTGCTCATTCGACCTTTAGTCCATTCGACCTTCTGTCCATTCGATATTTTGACTCCTTTCTCAACATTCGACCTTTTGTCCATTCGACCATTTGTCCATTCGACATTTTGACCCCCTTCTCATTTTTCGACCTTTTGTTCATGCGACCATTTATAGCCCTTACTATCATTCGACCTTTTTTCAATTCATCTTTTCGTCCATTTGACCTTTTGTCCATTCGATATTTGGTCCATTCAACCGTATGACCATTCGACTTTTTGTTCCATTTCTCATCATTCGATCTCTTGTCCATTCGACCTTTTGTCCTTTCGAACTTTTGTCAATCGAAGTTTTGTCATTTGACCTTTTTCCATTGTCCTTTCGTCTACTCGACCTTTTGTCCATTCAACCTTTTATCCATTCGACCATTTGTCCATTGGACATTTTGACCCCTTTCTCATCTTTCGACTTTTTGTCCGCGACCATTTATAGCCCTTATTATCATTCGACCTTTTTCAATTCATCTCTTCGTCCATTCGACCTTTGGTCCATTCGATATTTGGTACATTCGACCGTATGACCATTCGAGTTTTTGTCCCTTTCTCATCATTCGATATCTTGTCCATTCGACCTTTTGTCCTTTCGAACTTTTGTCAATCGAAGTTTTGTCATTTGACCTTTTTCCATTGTCCTTTCGTCCACTCGACCTTTTGTCCATTCAACCTTTTATCCATTCGACCATTTGTCCATTCGACATTTTGACCCCTTTCTCATCTTTCGACCTGTTGTCTATGCGACCATTTGTAGCCCTTATTATCATTCGACCTTTTTCAATTCATCTCTTCGTCCATTCTACCTTTTGTGCATTCGATATTTGGTCCATTCGACCGTATGACTATTCGACTTTTTGTCTCCTTTCTCATCATTCGACCTCTTGTCTATTTGAACTTTTGTCCTTTCGAACTTTTGTCAATCGAAGTTTTGTCATTCGACCTTTTTCCATTGTCCTTTCGTCCACTCGACCTTTTGTCCATTCAACCTTTTATTCATTCGACCACATTCGACATTTTTAATACTTTCTCATCTTTCGACCTTTTGTCCATGTGACCATTTTTAGCCCTTATTATCATTCGACCTTTTTCAATTAATCTTTTCGTCCATTCAACCTTTTGTCCATTCGATATTTGGTCCATTCGACCGTATGACCATTCAACCGTTTGACCATTCGACTTTTTGTCCCCTTTCTCATCATTCGACCTCTTTTCCATTCGACCTATTGTCCTTTCGAACTTTTGTCAATCGAAGTTTTGTCGTTCGACCTTTTCTCTTTCGACATTTTGTCAAACAATGAAGGAAAGTTCCATAAATTCCAGGATGATTACCGGGACATTAGGTAAGTTTTAAAAATTTCAATGAAGTCCAGAGAAGTCTTAGAGATGTTGAAGAATGAAGAGAAAACAGCAGATCATTAGTGTAGTACAATAACTTCAGGGCAGCTCCGTTTTTTGGAAAGTCTATTTGATATTGAAGAATTAATTTCTATACATTCAGAGCTGTTCCATTAATTTAAATAAAATTTCTAGAAATTCAGTGATTATCTCGGAAATTAAATTATTTGTATAAAGAATTTAAGAAAAGATAGAGAAGTCATGATCATTTCAGGGAAGCCCAAAGAACTCAAAAAAAAAATTAGAAAACTGCAGAAAATATTAGGAAACATCACAGAGGTCCAGCTTTTAAGAAGTTCCTTTAAAACTACGGGAACTACATAGAAGTTGCGAGAATTCTAGAAAATTAACGGGAGCGTCAGGAAAGATTCATGAATATTATAAGAATCGCGGCAACTTAAGAGAAGTTCTGAGAATATCTAGTAAATTTTAGAAACTTCAAGAAAATTCAAAGAAGTTCAAACAATTTTGGAGATTTCAAAGAAAATTCATTCTTCAGCATTCTTCAGGGAAGACAATTCAATTAACCTCAGGAAAATTTTGTGAACTTTTAAGAAGTTCAGATGAATTCAGAAAAGTCCAGGTTTGTGTTTAAAGTACCGGGCATTTCTGGAAAGTTCAGAGAACTTCAGAGAAGTTGAAAGAACTTCAGGGAAGTTGAAAGAATTTTTGAAAAATCCAAAGAGCCACAAAAATTTGATCCAAAATCTCAAAAGATTAAAAATCTTTACATAAGTTACGTGAAGTTCGGGGAAGTTCCGAGCTTTACGGAAAATGACCGGATCTTTATGTCCGATCAATGAACATCTGGGAAATTTGGGCAATTCTTGTGAACATTAACGAGTTGTTTTATTTAAATAGTGTTATTGTAAAGTTAAGGATAAGGTGGGACAAGGTGCCTTCCATTCATTTTAGCTAAAACAATTATGAAATTATGGCATAATTTAGATATTATGATGATATTTTGTATGTGAGTAACAAGAAAAGATGGTAGAGTTTGTGTTTTTTTGCTTGATTTTTTTTTCGTCGATCTTGTTTTCCGTGCTATCGACGCCAGGAAGCCAGCTCCCACGCCTGGACCCGACCTATGGACCCATCAACTCATGAACCGGGGACCAACGGTTTTGCTTCCCTTCCAAAAAAAGGTGTGATCAGAGATGTTATGCATCAAAACATCCCGGCGGCACCGACTGGAAATGAACCAAGGCCTGCTGGGGTGAGAGGCAATCACGCTAAAGTTTGTGTTTCAAACATAAAACCTGCAAATTTACTTTGACAGAGTCACAATGAGCGATTTTCTGATCGCCTCTTCGCGAAGAGTGAAGGGCAAAGAGTGGGTAAGATAAATGACGACATCGCTTATTGCGACTCTCTTGTAGCAAAACTGGTATCATGTGTCAAACACAAACTTCACAATCTTTTATTGTTGCTTACACAAACAAAATATTCTCATAATATCTTATTATTCCATAATTTCATAAATCATCATAAAATGAATGGAAGGCACCCTGAGGTAGGGAACGAAAAACTTTGTTTTATGGTTTAATGTCTCCTCCACTGACGGTACTATGGGAAATTTTTTAAGTTCACTGATATTGCTCTAACTTTGGTTCTAGTTATGCAAACCATGAAAAAAAAAGTTAATATGTGGTTGCCATGACAACGATTGCCTGTCGCTGATTTGATGAAATTGGTGTTGTTGTCTGGCACATAATCAACTAACAATATAACCTATTTTTCCATTACCATACTGAAAAAGACACGCTTGTTGATTATTGTCATAGCAACAACATATTAAATTTGATCAACGTTTGGAAAACTAGAATCAAAGTAAGAGTGATAGGGTAAACGCACCAATAGGGAAGGTAAGTATGTGCAATGTGTTCCTATAGCGGCTTATGGAGTCAGCCACTATAGGAACACATTGCACTAACGTACCTCCACTATTGATGCGTTAACCCTATCACTGAAAGCCTAGCATATATTAACTACTGCAGAAGGGCTCCTTGGAAATTAGGGCCCATGCATTAATTATGTCACGCTAAATCAAGCAAAAAATTACCCCTCCACCCCCCCCCCTATCGTGACGTTTTTCCTATACCTAATGCATTGCTTGTCACAAAATCTTAGAACCCCCCCTTCCCCCCTTAGAGCGTGACATAATATATGCATCAACCCTTAATAATAACCATGTTGAAGGTGGAATGGCAAACAAAACCTTGAATGATTTTTTCAGCTCAAAGTTTGAGTGAAAGTAAATGTAATTTCAAACAGCTTGAATAAATTGTTTCGCAAAATATTATCCCGGTACACGCATCGGTATAGAACGAACCTTCATTTCCAACTTCCATACCCTACAGAAATTTTACTGATGATCCTCTTTTTTCCATTTCCGGATTCTTACAGGTGGTCTCCCGTTGATGTACTCGCCGGCCCCGAGAGGCGACTGTGAAAATTGCTGTCCCATCCGAGAGCCAAAGGATATACAGTTTTTCCTCTTCACAAGGTAAACCCCCCTCGCATTTTGAGTAGAATACGGAACGACGACAGTGCACTGCATAAAAGTAACATTTTATCGCCTTAAGCCCAAACCAAGCCCAGAAGTATGGGATTAAAACTTGTTTCTTCCCCGGGAACTCGCCTCCCCTTTCCCCACAGGCAAAATCGAGACAAAGGAGACGTGCTCTACGTTTCCGACAAGAAACATCTGAGAAAGTCCCACCTGAACAGGACCAATCCGTTGGTAATCTATATGCATGGCTTCTCGGAACGCGCTCCGGGTGGAGATGGCGAAAGCAGCAAGCAGATGAGGGACGGTAAGTGTGCTTCTACCTATATTTCCCAGGCTAGGTCAAAATCAAAACCTGATTGGCTTTCGATTTTTCGACACAAAAAAAAACAGCTCTCCTCGATGCAGACGACTACAATGTGGTGCTGGTGGATTGGAGTCCCCTTACGGCGCTACCTTGGTACGTGAACTCCGTCCAGAATGGGCCCCGCGTTGGACGGTACATTGCAAGGTTCATTCGGTTCCTGGTGCTATCGAATTTCCCGCTGAAGCAAATCCACCTGATCGGGTTCAGTCTGGGAGCGGAGGTGGCTGGATTTGCGGGGAAAACCCTCAACGAATGGGGAATGAAACTGCCAAGGATAACGGGTAAGAATTTCCGAAAATGACAGTTGTTATCATCCATTTCACTAGCTCTTTCGGGTGTGGAAGAAAATATTTGTTTCAAGTTGGCAGCCGTCCAACCGGCATTTCGGCTATTGATTTATGGATGTTGATTGAGTTGAGATTGTTGGCGTGTGCTTGCCGCGGCAGATGGGTTTCATTTCCTAGGAAATACTATCAATCAGTTCGTTTTGAAAGGTTGTCTCAGTTTGATACGTTTCCGTGAATGGGAGTTGCTTTGCTTGCAAGGGAAAGTAGCATGAGCGACCTTGAGGTATTTTAATGTTTCTTAAATGCACATATTTTATTAGTTTTAGAAATGTTTTCTAAAAAAAAATTTCATGTTTAAGTTTTTACAAATTGGCATTTTGAAACCGGCAAAAATACACGGAATACACATTATCTTCGAAATGGTGGCTGGCAGAACGCGGGTAATATGTGTACAAACCACCATTCTTTTATATCGAGACAACCATAAATATCTTCATGAAACGTCCAAAAGTAATCCAAGGGAAGTCAAATGAATCTTCTGAGGAAATTCGAATACCTTGGGGAAAAATATTCTAATGACGCAATTGCAATCTCCCTTCTCATATCAATTAAATTCTGACCAAAAGTAGATGGCTTACTTCACTTGTATAGGATTTAAATTGAACTATTTTCTCAAAATCTAATTTGATAATGGTAGAAAGGTTCGGAATAGATTTATTAATGGAAAATTGAGCTGTTAACAGGTGAACACACTTTTTTCGATAAATGCTCCCTAAACTGTTAAATTAGTCGAAATCTGTATTCGGAAGCCTATCCACTATGGTTTGTAATACTGCCCTTTTTAAGTTTCAGTGTGTCGCGCAAGCAAAAAGAGGCTAATAGGAATTTATAAATGTTTAAGTATTGCACCAGATTCGATGTTAAAGGAAGAGTATGGCCGAAAAGTAATGAAAAATCGGCTCAGAAGAAGCTGAGGAGACTGCAAAGAATTGCTACTCTCTCAATAACTGGTGCAATGAGTAGTACACCGAGTATGTCACTAGATGCTTTATCTGCTTCCGTTGCATCAATTTAACCAATTAGAAGCTGAAAGGAGCGCTTTAAGGGTTCAACGAACAAAGTACTTCCTTGAAAGTGATCTTACAGGACACATTAGTATTTAAAAAAATGTCTAATATTGATTCTCTTGTATTAAAAAATGAAGATTGGCTGGAGAAATAAAATAAAATTTTGATCGTTTATACAATGCAGCAGAATTTGATCGTAATGTTTGGGAAAGTGGGGAGCCAAACATCAGTCCAGGTTCAACTGGTTTTTTATACAGACGGTTCAAGATTGAACAATCGTGTGGGAGCAGGGGTAACTGGTCCAGGGTTAGATATCTCAATATCTATGGGTTACTGGCCATTCGTGTTCCAAGCAGAAACTCAAGCAATTCTTGAATGCGCTGTAATATGCTTGCGCGGAAATTATAATCATTCGAATATCTGCATTATGTCTGTTATCAAGCAGCATTAAATGCTTTAAAATCAGCAACATGCAATTCAATACTCATATGTGAATGTGTAATGTCACTTCAGAAATTGGCCTGTCAAAACCAAGTAAACCTAACGGGTGTTCAATCAAAAATGAGAATTTTTTCAGTCATACAGCTAGCAAAAAAAAAAAATCCAACGAATTCAGTATTTTTTATTAAAAACATAATGTTTATTCTTCAAAAAAACATCAATGAATATTGGAGAAGGGACCCTGGTGAGCCGTATGACGCAACTTAGTCGCGATGCTCTCACAAGAGTACTGGACGGCACTGAAATCATCCTCATTTTTTATTGAACACCCGTTATATTGGGTTCCTGGCCACTGTGGAATTGAAGGGAATGAAAAAGTCGACACGTTAGCCAGGCTAGGATCATCTCAGCAATTCATAGGACCTGAACCATTCTGTGGAGTTTCTGCTTGTTCTCTTAAAATGGAGATCAAGAAATGAAAAAAAAAGATGAAAGTGGAGACCAATTGGAACAACACTCCCATTGCTAGGCAGAAGAAATGGTTCATAATTCCGAACATTTCAATTTTTTTTCCTTTATTTTACGACGATCTTGTTTTCCGTGCTGAGCACCAATGCTACCGACGCCAGGAAGGCAGCTTCCACACCTGGACCTTACCTATCGACCCATCAACTCATGAACCGGGGACCAACGGCTTTACTTCCCTTCCGAAGGAAGGCGTGATCAGAGATGTTATGGCTCAGAACATCCCGGCGGTGCCGACTTGGATTGAACCCAGGCCTGCTGGGGTGAGAGGCAATCACGCTTACAACTACACCACCGGCACTGCTAGACGAACATCTCAATGACTAGCAAAATTCTTGAATTATCAAAGAAAGACCTCAGTGTCTATGTAAATATCATTTGAAGTTAATAGGAAAACTTCAAGAGGATATGTGTGGATTCTGTGGCATAGAAAAGGAATACTCTGAACACCTGCTATGCTCTTGTGCAGCAATCTTCAATAAAAGGCGTATTTTTATGGATAAGGGGCTGGCAGAACCCTTTGATATTTGGAATGCAGGTCCTAGTCAAGTAGTACATTTCATTCGAAATGTAATACCTGGTCAGTCTATGTCGGTCGCTTCACAAAATAGTGATACGACATAACTGATAAAGCAATATAAAAACGGGGAATATCACAATAGATCAAAGTAATGGTCGCAGTGATGAATATACCCAACACGGAAAAAAGAGTATCGTAAAGATTGAAGCTAGAAATACCAATTGAATCAAATTTAATGAAAATAATTATTTCGCTTCGTTTAGTGCATTTTGTTATTGATAAGTCATAAATTTGTTTGAAATTATTTCAAGTCACATAGTTGTTTTAATCTTCCAGAAGCTTCGTTATCGACATGACATTTTTCAGTATTGAATAAAAGTCATCCGATGCTTACGCAAAAAATGTGGTTGCCGTTTCCTCTGATCAAAAGCAATCAAAACCGTGCTGCTTGTTCTCAACATTTTCCCTTTGCGGGACTCTTATTATAACATCGACTCTGTATTGCACTTGCCTAACGCTCCTACTTCTAAAAAACGAAAAGAGCAACAGAATCAACACAAACAGATACAACAATAGCAGTTCTCTTTCTCCTGCATTTGACTTTGCTCAATTTCTCATATTATAATTGAGGAAATTTAGTAGCATTATTGACCAAATAAGTGCAACTATACTACTTAGGCTGTGAACCATTTGCCGAGTTAAATTCATCTTGTGGATAAAAGTGACATTTCGAAAGTTATTCTCTATGTTCGAAAATCCATGTGCTGTCGATCGACCGGTTTTCGAGAAGAACATGGTTGTCAAAATTTAACTTCTTGTCTGTCAGAAAGAACATGGTTGTCAAAATTTAACTTCTTGTCTGTCAGAAATAACCACGCTCGGATAGCAGGGTTAATCGATTACTTTCCATCTGTCAAATTTTAACCAAAAGTTTTAAAAAAATCCACCAAATGGTTCAGAGCCTTAGTGGTCTACTATGGTACATTCTGGGATCAGCATTTACGGAATACAAGATGGTAGGGCTTTAGTAAAGATGATGAATTTCAGTCCAAGATGCCCTGGTTAGTGAATACTAGGGTGATTCAAATATCTATTTTGCTTCATCAAGCTCAATTGATTCTAAATCAGGTCCTAAGCTTTCTCCTAAAATTTGAGTTTATTTAGTTGCGACCTCATACTGCACAAGCCTTTTGAAGTTTGTATGGAAATTACTATTGGAAATTTTTTGTTCTCATCGTCCTAACCTTTCGTCATACTGATTTATAGGTAAGCTAGCTATATGTACTTTCTTGAAATTTTCTCAGCTACAACTTTACTGAAGACTTGATTGAAAGTTGTGAAAATTTGTTATCAATTGATTTCGAAGCCGATAACTTTCTGATATCATTAATTTACTGATTTCAGGCAGAGCTGTGGAGTCACATCTAAATGGACCGACTCCGATTCGAACTCCGACTCATTTTATATTAAAATAACCGACTCCAACTCATTTTCAAACAAAATCCAATATTATCGGTACAGTTGAAAACCAATATTACCCACTGGCGACAATCGATTTTACTCTCGTTCTGTACATTAAACATAGTGTGACACTATTAGTGTCGGAAATAGTGCGCTGTAATCACACAATGATGCGCTTATCAGAGCACTATTTCCGACACTATGTTCATCGTACAGAACGTGAGTAAAATCGATTGTCGTTAGTGGGTTATTCTGGGTATCAATTGCACCGATAAAAAAAAAATTACGTAGGGTTAATGTCCCCAATGTCGGTCTGATCGTCTTTAATATTTTGCCCATACATACATTTCAAAGGAAAGTATTTTTTGAAAATGTTTCACCAGCAACCAATAACTTCCATTTGTCCAGATGACGCATTGTTCAACGAAAACTAGGGTTTTTGATCTAATTTCCGTCCTACTAAGCACAACCCGCGCTTTACCACTCTTTTCTGAACGAGTTTAAACAAAAAGTGGAATATTTCTGTCAAAGATGACTTATTCACCTTTCCATACGTACCGTTGGATTTGATTATGAGTCACAAATTGTTGAGATATTGTCTAAAATCTAACACTGCTTCTTGATTCTAAATTCGTTCTACGAGTTTCAATTCCGTCCTAACGCACTGAAACGCCATTAGATTTTCTTCGTTCTACGGATAAACGTAGAAAAAGGGGATTCGCTAGGAGCGCTTTTTTTGTTTTGAGAACAATGAGCGTAAATATTCATACAATGCGCTCTAGCAGGGTTTATGTTGTAGCTAATGAACTAACGCATCGGAACAAACCTATTATTGACTTGTGCACGGTGAAATCATTGATATTATAGATCTTTTCTGATTGATAGAACGGAAATGGGCGATTACGACGAAGTTGCGCTCTACCCTATAGGAACAGAAGATTTTTGTCGATTGGCCTAATCTTTAGATTCAAAGGCCAAGA